TATAATATCTAGTTATAATTATAAATTCATAATTATAGATATAATATTACAAATAAATATCTAAATAAATTCGTACAATATTATAAATAAATATTTAAAATTCATAAAAAAGAGTAAAATTTCTTTAAGTAAAAGAATGAAATTATGAGATTGTAATGTTATATATATAAGATTATAAAAAATAAGATATCCTAACAATTAAAATATTATAAAAAAATAAAAAAATTAAATACAATAAATCAAATTCTCAAACAAGATTTATTAAAAATATTTAAATAATTTCGTAAATAGTTAACAGCCATCTAACACCTTATTATTCACTTTTCTCTAACAATTATGTTATTTTTATATTAAATTTAACACACCAGAACTTGAAATTAGCTTTTTCAAACTGAAATTTTGGATAGGAAAATTGAAAATATCTTTACCCCTTTTTTTCTAATAAGAATATCTTTTAATTAAAAAAAAAAGGAGCCGGGGGGGTGGGGAAATTAGGTGCGAGACGCGAACCCAGAGAAAAGCGCACGCGGAAAGTCCCCCGATAATGTTCGGAGTTCGGACTCGATGCTACTTTATGAAATCAAATTAACAAAGATCTTGGAGTCCGAAACTGTGTCACAGTAAAATCCAGGTATCCAGCGTACTGGAAAAGCGAGCCAAAAAGACAAGTGCACGCTCTCACCGGAAAAGAAACCGAATTTCAATCTCCGACTCTCGAAATTCGTTTCCGAATCGTCGACGTTTCTTTTTTTCTCCGACAATCTCGGTGTAAAGTTTCCGAGGCTTCAATCGCATCACTCATCGCTTTCGGGTTCTGAGTGAACTCGGTCGCCAACCGAAATCCTATGGTGATTGAAAAGCTAGTTCAATTTTGTTTGCTCTTATTAATTTCCTTTTATGATGAAGCTTGAAATGCAATCTGCCTTTTTAATTATAGACGTTTATGTTTATTTATGCATTTTAGTTTATGCATGGATATATAGCCAATTGGAGTGAGTTTACTTTGATTGTTTGTTTGGAATTAGGGTTTTTAATTTGTGGAATTTGTGAATTAACATGCTTTTTTGGAACTTCTTAGTTGAATTTTATAAATATTGAATTTGGTAACCTTTTTTCTTTTTTCTTTTTTTGCATTTTTGTTGGATTTATGAATTTATGGAATTATTTAGAGTGAGCTCTGTTGCAATCTAGTTTACTAATCAAAAACTGATGTTAGTTGATGATAAAGTGTGGACTAACAAAAAAAAACAACTCCAGCGGGTCAGGCCTTCAGGTGCGCTTGGGCCAAAGGTCTGGACACTTATGTGTTATCCAAAAGAAAAACTGTGGATTAAATGCTTTAACGTGGTTTTCTTTATATGGGGAGTGAAAAACTTGAATTTTGTTTCTAGACATCTTAAACTTGCAAGCTTATTTGTATGTTTGGTTTGCGGTGTACTGTTTCCCAAATACATTTGATTTTAGGGTGGAGTGTGGAAATTAACTTTATTATCTGTTTGTTTGGCCATTTTTGTTATGCTTTCCAGTTTGTGAATTTGAGTTGCATGTCGTGGATTTTCCATGGAAGCAGTGATTGGAGTTGACAGCAATGATGAAGGGAGACTTGAGGAGAGGTTCCTTGAGAAAAGTAGCTCTTCTTTGTCTTCACCAAAGCATATTGCCAACCCAGTTGTCTACAAGCTTGTTCGGGTAAATTGGTTGCTATTTGTTTTTTTAATTTTCCTATTATACAGATATAAAATGAAACTTGTATATTCCTTTTAAAAATAAGAAAATTTACTGCTAGTTTCCTTGAATATTAAGTGTGTGCAATGGAAATGTTCAAAGAAAAAAATTTGCATAGTCCTTGTTGGGGCCTTCATTTGACTGTGAACCAGATTAAGGATTTCAAATAACTGATAAGTGATAAAGCTTGATTTCATGAACTGAATTTTAAAGCACTAAAACAAATGTGGTCAATGTTGACCATTAATGCTTTTATAACGCGGTAAATGTACCATGGTGCTTCTTCAATTTGTACATGTGATGTTTGTAGTTCTTGTTTAACTTGTCATTGGGTGCAGATAGCAGCATTGGGTATATCCAATGCAAAAAACGGTTTAAGACATAGTAATCTGAAGAGAGCATCTAGGAATTAGTTTGAACTTTGAAATGCATGAAGCTCTACAGAATATTAGTGAGAAAGTGAATGCATTTGTGAACAGAGTACAAACTATAGGTTTCTAGAAGGATTAAATTATTGTATGAATTGTTCATATTTGCACCAAAGCTTCTTAATCTGGTTAAAGCTTTTGCTTGGAGAAACCAGTGAGTTTTATGCAACAATTTTAGTTGGTCTTAGTTGTTCTAAATCTAGCCTTTGAATTTTGATGTATTCAAAGCAAAACTTTGGAGGCTCTTCATGTTTTATATGTTGAATTAGGGTTTCAATAAGCTTGCAGCTTATGGGCTTCTCATGGTTTTTAACCATTTTTTGACTTACACCTTAGTCTTAATGATGGAATTTTATTATGGAGATTTCGTATACTTTTTTTCCTTTCGTATGGTTGGATCAATTTTTAATGTTTTGTGATAAATTTGTAATCATTGTGCAAGTAAACATGTATAGTGTCTGTAGTTTGAACTTTTCAAGTGCTTACCGTGCTAAAGCGTTAACATGTGAATTCAGACTTAATTTGTTTGATTGATAATCTTAAACACAAATTTGTAGGTTGAGGGTGATGGAACTTTTGTGCCTGCAACTGATGATGAGCTCATGGAGGTGGAGGGTTTGCTTGAAAATGAGAAGCAAGAAATTCCTATTGTTTCAGACACAGGGCAGAGTTTGGGGGGCATGCCAATTGAGATGTCATCCTCTAGCTTGTCCCAGTTTGAAAGCTCAGAAGGTTTGGTTTCCTTGCTACCATTTTAGGGAACATTTTGAAGAATTATTTTGAGAATATGAGATGGTGGAACGTGCTGATTGCAAACCTATGTTGTGGCTTTTGAATTAGGATTTCTTTTAGGCTTAACTTTTTCCTGTTAATGTCCTATTTTAAAAAATCGAGCCATCAAATTCTCTTTATAACCTTACTCCATTTGGATTGTGGTTTTAATTATGTTCTCCACTTTATAGTTTTTGTGGTTGGGCTTTACTTGCTTGTTTCTCTTATCTTTCTGTTCTGTAGGGTTTTCAATTTTGATTGATTTTCATACTTGCATGTTGCCCTTCATTTAAAAAACCTGAAGTAGATATTGAAATATTAGGAAAAATGAAGATGGAGAACCATCTGAGCAGTCATCTTGGCATAAGTCATAAGCTTAACAGTATTAAAGAAGTCTTCTTTGAGTGTATGTTTGTTTAGTGATTCTCTCTCTTAATTGTTGATATTTGATGTTCCACAGTTGCTATCTCAGCTTCAATGCTTATCAGATTGCATTTTAACATTTGTTTTTTTTTTGTGCTTCTATATGTTTATCCTTTTCTGAGTTACTGATATATCTCAGGTTTGCCCCAATACAAGAAAATGGGAGCTGGTACTGTGAAATTGAATTCACGCCTTGAGGTAAATTTAACATTTATAGCTTAGAATTTCAAAATTTCTCCAAATTTTGGGTAACAAATATGATGTTATTATTGTAAGTACAGCACTACTGCCAGTTCTAGTTGGGATGTGGTCCTCTTTTTTCAGTGATAGCTTCAGATTAGATTGGCTTTGGTTTGATGTTCAGTGAAAATGGTTTTGTTTCGCTTCTGTGTTGCAGTGATTGCTTTTATGCAGATTAGGAAATCACGATAATAGGTTGTGTACATGTGATCTTTTGCCTGTAGAAAATCATAGAAATTGTGAATGTTAAGTTACCTTTATGTTAGAATGATAGTTTTATAAGTGATTCTCTAAAGTTATTAGTGATGAAAATTGGAGGAATGCCAATGCTACTTAAGTATTTTGTTTGCAAGGTTGGCTTGTTGTCACAAGTTTCCTGTGATACAGAGTCTTTTGGCTTTAAATCCTATAATTTTCCTTCAAGAACTGAACACTTTGTATTTTAAGTTTGAGAAGCTTGTTTGTTGATGTTGACATGTAATAATTATATGTTTCTTAAGAGGGTAACTTTTTATTTATTTATTTATTTATTTTCTATCATATAGAGTTTTATGTGTGACTAACATACTGGAAATTTTTCTTGAGGCATTCCAATATTTTTGTGAGTTTAAGCCTTCAGCTTGTCATATCTCTTAACTGATATTATCCTTGCTAATTTATATTGCTTCTATAATTTTGTGGGGAAAAACCCAGAAATTTATTTTTTCTTTAATTTCTTAGTCGGTTACGATGTTGTTCCTGTTACTTGTCCATAAACAAGTCTTGAAGCTTTCAACTTCTTATGAAGTTGCATTTAATGCATTTTCTTGCTGTCTTGTAACCATAGTTTTCCTGACATTTCTATATATTATTGTTGTTGCCACATATTCTTCTTTGAATGCATTATTTGAACTGCATTCCCAATCAACAATGTGACAGAAATCATGAGGATCTCAAGTGTTTAAATTTTAGTTTGGTTAGAAAAAGAACAACTTTGATATTGTAATTCAATATGGAGACTTTGACATACTGTAGACAAATTTGTGTGAATTTGGAACCTTAATTATTACCCTAAAGTTGGGAGGTTGGATAACTTTCCAGTGTATTGATTTTGAGGAGGGATAGAACTCTGAGGAACTTTTCACTCAATTAACGCATGATGCCAGTGTTTCAGTGTATGTAACAAACTTAACTATAAAAATGCTTTAGTGAATCTCGATGCTCAGAGAACGTGCATTCATATTTAAAATTTTTAGCAGACTAAAAGAAGAAAATATATGTTGTGTGGGTATAGCACCTAATGATATATTAGTTTTTTTTTTTTTTTAATTTATTTATTTGTATTTTTATTTTCTTTGTTTTCTTAATGCTGCTGGCTAGTTGAAGCATGTGGTTGTTTTGGGCTCTTAATATAATCAGTCAAACTATTGATTTCTTGGATCCTTCTCTGGCTTTAAAATTCCTTGTAGTACATTGAGGAGATGTTGCAAAAGGTCAAACAGGAAGAGAGGCTCCACTTAGCATGTCGATCTCCTAATCATTCTTCTGCTAATGTGAATGTTGACAGCCAGTCTTCTGAGCAGCACAATAAATTGCCTGGTTTTGATGAGAAGCTTCAATCTCAAATTCCCTTGCAGGATACTACTGATGCTTCTGTTGCTCAAAGTCTGAGTGATCATCATCTTACTCGATCTGGGAGTATTGGGGAGTGCTCAAAACCTTCGGAAGGGCTAAAAGATGGTGGATCATCAATCTCTGTTGGCTTTACTTGTTCAACACCTGATTTTTCAAAGTTAAAGGGGGAGGTATGCTTGGACAATTTATCAATTAGGGAACTTCATGAAATTTTTAAAGCAACATTTGGGCGTGAAACCACTGTGAAGGATAAGCAGTGGCTTAAAAGAAGGATTACCATGGGATTGACAAATTCTTGTGATGTTTCAACCCCAACTTTCAGAATCAAAGATAACAAATTGCTGAAAAATGCTAATGAGGGAAGCTTTGATAATGTGAATGATGCATCTACCATGGATCCAGTTTTTGGAATGGAAAGCTGCAAAGATTCGCCTGATAGCCATAGCAGTGGAAGAGAAGTGCATCAAATTTCTCTTGGTCAGGGATTGGTAAATAGTGGCATGGAAGACAGTTATGGTGGTGAAGATCTTCCCATAGAACAGAGGGCTGGAAGGAGGGTTCGGAAGCCAACAAGGAGATTTATTGACGATTCACCTATTGTCGATGGTAGTGAAAGAGAAGTGCAACAAATTTCTCTTGGCCAGGGATTGATAAATAGTGGCATGGAAGACAATTATGGCAGTGAAGATCTTACCATAGAACAGAGGGTTGGAAAAAGGGTTCGGAAGCCAACAAGGAGATACATTGAAGAACTATCAGAAGCAGAGTCGAAAGAATACAATGGGAAGTTAATTGCTTCAGGAAAAAATTCAGGAATTGGACCATTGACCTCAAAATCTTTTGCTAGGCCTGCAAGAAATATTGACTCAGAACAGAGAACGATCATCACAAGGATAGATTCCCTTGGAGGATTTGGGGTACAGGTTCCTTGTGTTTATAGGGTCCGAAGAAGCCGTCCAAGGAAAAACGTTATGGATCTCATGGTATGTCACTGATCTACTATAACAAAATATGAATTTGTCTGGAGATCTGGGGTGTTGATTTCATAGTTGCTTTAAAAGAATATGGAAGTCAATAACATTTTATTGTTATCTATTTATTGCTTCAATTTATTCTCTTGTGGATGGGAGGTGGGTACTCATATTTGAGTGGTCAAGAATGGAATCTATACTGGTCCCATCCTCCCACTCCTCTTCTCAACTTTCGATGTTTGTCTATTACGTTTGTCTATTACGTTATTTGTATCTAGTGGGCAATGGCAGCTCTCAACCTGAATTGCCTCTTGTAGAAATTCCATCCTAGTGACATGGGCATGACAGCTACACTGCTTAGCCAGGGCCAGGAGGTGCACAGTTTGCAGATGGACAATACGAATGGGGACAAAGTTTTGGAAGTAAGTTCTGCACCAGAGCAGCTTTCACAGCAGGTAAAGCGCAACACCTCTTATCTGTTAAAGTTTTTCTTGTTTACAGTTAAGTTAGGGCCAATCCACGTTTTCATTTCACACTTAGGAAAGAAAGAAAAAAGAGAATTCTTGCTTGTCCACTTGTACCCTTTGAAGGCCAATCTAGAGCTCCTAGGTTACTGGTAGTGTCTGAAAATATTTTAGGAATCCCTTTGGTCTGTGGTGGCTGTTCAAGCATATGATAGCCAATCCAGAACTGAAGATGGACCATCCAAAAGTGTGAAGATGGTGATTACATTTTTTAGTGAAGATTCTGTTCTTGTGGACAGCTTGTAGCTGAACCCTATAAAGAGAGGCAGTGCTCATCTTTGGATGTAATTGATAGAGGGCAGAATATGGAGCAGAAAAATGCAGATTCGTTTGAATATCCTTCAGATGATAATGTAGCTAGGTTGCCTACATCTAAAGTTAGAATTAGAAGGAAACATCATCGAGCTTGGACTCTACATGAGGTCATGAAGCTGGTTGACGGTGTGTCTAAGTATGGAGCTGGCAGATGGTCAGAGATCAGAAGGCTAGCCTTTGCATCCTATTCATACCGCACTTCTGTTGATCTTAAGGTACTTGTATGCTAGTTGGATAATGGGATTGTGTATTGCCTAATCAATTGAGGTTAAAAAAAGGAAAACTCATTTTGATAATTGTATTGTCCTGACCATTGGAAATATATTTTTGGTTCTTGCCCTTGCAGGACAAATGGCGGAATCTTCTCAAAGCCAGCTTTTCACAGACACCGGACAAAGGGGTGAGTTATTAAAGTTTGTTTTTTATTTTTTTGCTTGATAGAGACAAATAAATAGATTCTGTGACCTCTCTCTGTTTCACTCTTCACCTTTACTGGAGGGTATTATTGTTAGAATGTACGAAATGCTGTTATTTCATCTCTCTTTCATTATGTTTATTATGGTTTCTCTAACGTTGATTATGTAGGTGAATTCACGAAAGCATCCTTCCATGCCCATTCCACCAACAATTTTGTTACGCGTGCGGGAGCTTGCTGAGATGCAGGCGCAGGTCCAACCAAATCTTAGTACAAGCAAGCTGGTTACAAGTGGTAGAAGTGTGCTTGAGACAAAATCAGGGTACTTGTGACATTGTAAATAACACCTTTAGCTATCTAAAAATCGGAAATAGTAGTTTGCCAATTTCTACACTGTATCAGTCAACATAAAGATGGTCCTAGTCAACGATTTGTATGTATGGTTTATTAAAGAATAATATCTAGTTATCCTGTTGCCTTTGCTCCCATCTGCTAGGATCTATTACAGTGGTCTCCTTTATTTTCGCTTTGTTTTTGTTTCATTTGCAAAAGTCAGTTATACATGTTTGGAAGTTAGCTATATAGGTTAATGTATACAGTTAAGGATTTTTATACCCCATGTTTAGACGCCATATATGACAACTTTACATTTTTCATATTCAGGATTCAAATATCTCTTTTCAAGTCAAATAAAATACCTATTCAAATACACTTGAGCCTTCGGCGGCTCAGTGGCATTAAGTCACATTTAAGTGCATTCTTTTTATTTAAGCAACGGTTCGAATTTGACTCTTTGTAAAATTGTTCAAAACAAAAAAAAAAAAAAAAAAAAAAATCTATTCAAATAAGTTAAATACTCACAAATATCATATATAGATATATATGTGGAAGGTGTTGAAAGTATACACTTTTATGTGAAAATTTTAACTTTACTTTAATTATTTTTTGAAAATTTTAAATTTAAATTTTAATAGTATACTTATTATATCTTTTATTATTAATTTGTAAAATAATAAAAATTAATTTAAATTTTATTAATTATCTAATTAAATTATTTTACATGATATTAATGTTGAAAATAAAGTTTATTTTTATAATTTTTCATATAAGTCAATAATAAAAATGTATAATAAATATACTTTTAACTTATGTTTTAAAAAATTAACACAAATTAAAAAACCCAACAAATACGTACATTGGAAAGTCAAATACTAGTAAAAGAGAAAAAAAAATATAACATTATAATTATAATGTTATATAAAATTGTAATTTTATAATTTTTTTATAAAATATAATATAATATAATATAATGTTAAATAAACATGTATAAACCAATCTTTATATGAAAATAATTAATTATATTACATTATGTGATTAGTACTTCTTCGTTTTACTTTCTAAAAATTAAGAGAAATATTTTTTCAAAATCATATAATTTTAATAAATATTTATTGAAAAAAATTAAAATATTTTATTTTTAAACATGAATTAAGATATTTTTTATTTTTATTTTTTAAATTTTTTAAAA